TGACATCTGTTCTGTGTGTCAAAATGAAAGACAGCCCAGACACAGATCAATCCATCAAACCGTGGGTCTTATTTACAATTATCGTGGTTGAGTTTCTATCAACACTTATTTAGTCTTGATAGTTGTTTACTTTAACGAGACTGTTGCAACACTTCATTTCTGCTTCACGCTTCGTTGCTAACGATTTTGAAGACATCCGCATTCTTGTGACACGTAATACTCGCTTCTATGTTTTGGTGCGACTGCGTTCACACCCAACCCAAACTAACCGCACAAGCGGCTAAAACGCACCAGTTTCGATTCAACCGGACGTATGACAAAGGCTGTTGTGAATGCGACACTGAACACACAGGTTTAATGAAGCCCCTTTCCTTCCTCTCGTTACTTGGGTCTCTGCAGGACGTAGGTGGAGGAGGAAGGCCCGCAGCGCTCGGATGGCTGCTCTTTATCCAGAAGGATCCACTCCGCACCACCGCCTCCATGGACTGGCCTGTGCCGCCTGGAACGAGAACATAGTCCACGGGCTTACTGGGTCTCTGGCGGCAAGAGGAGAGAAATTTACCAAAGAGGGTGAATGATGACGAGAGAAAAAACAAGAACAGTCAGTTGAGAAACTCAATTTATACACCGTGAGTCGGAGTACACTTACTTTAGGCACCAAACTAAAGGCAATTTAAATATATTTAATGTGAAAACTGTTTGAAACCCCAGACTAAAGGTGGTATGGTACAATAAAAACATTAAGATGTTATTGTTGATATATGAATAGGAATTCCTCATCAAGTAATTTAAATAAATGTACCGTCCCAGTTTATGTAAAAATAAATACGTTTTTAAACTTAAATTGATGTTAAATGACAGTTTGATGATCAAAATAAGGCAGGCTAGAATTAGTTAGGTACATGGTATTACTAGTAAACATAATATGATTTGCATTATAATGCAAACAGCAACATGTAACATTCACCCAGTTGCAGGTTTATTGGGTCAAATAGATAATGTACTGTTATAAATGTTCCTTTCCTAACTTTTATATTAGATTAGAAGCATCAGCTTTTGGCGGACACAATAAATAATAGCTTTCTTCGGTCTGTAGAAACATATTAGACAGAATATTATAAATCCTGAGGTAAATTGGTGAGTAGCAGTTGAAATACAAAGTACCAAAGAATGCAAATACAGTGTGCGAAAAAGTACACGTCCCACCGTCCGGGACGTGTTATTTACAATATCGGACAAGTAGATCTTTCAATTGACTTGTCCGGCGGACAAGTG